ATCATGCAAATGAGTTCTAATGGTTTTTGTTGATATCTGAAGATCTGATTCAGCAAAGTCTTTTTGAATTTCATTAGCAGTTATTCGTGGTTTGTTCTCTACTATTTCCTTTAAATGATTCTTCGCATTTTTATCAAGCAAGGAAGGGCGGCCGCATCGTGGTGCACTATTGGTGCCTCCTTTAGTCTTGTAACGGGAAATCGTATCTTGAACAGTAGACTTAGGGTAACCGAGTTTTTTTGATATTTTACGCACCGATTGCCCATCTTCTGAAAGTGCAATAATTTTTGCACGTTCACATTCGGTAAGTTCTCTCCTATTCTTAACTGAAAGCTGGTTACTCATTCTCGCGCAATTTTTACGTAATGAATAAGAGAGATCGAAGAAAAACTTTGTTATTAATTGACTTTGTTTACATCAATATTCGCGACTGTTCCACTATAGAATGATTTACGGATGCTAAACTATTTATGGTAAAAATTTACAGTCATTTTATTATAAATTATCCCGAGCAATATTCAAATATACAAAGTGTCCGGTGACTTTTTTCCACTGAGTGTATATAATTGAGACAAGTTGATTGGTCAATTTTGGTGTTGCACAAGAATATTGGTATAATCAGAGAAAATTTCAATAGTTAACCGTTCCGAAGATTGTATCGGTATAAGATAATAGGACTGGTTCGGGTAAACAAAATTTTATCGATATAAAGAGGTTTGACTGTATACTGCAAACACGACTCTCGATATAACGGATATCGCTTAGTACGGAGATTTAAATCCAACACTAATAAATGTGTCTCTATATACCAGATTTTATTAGTAATCTCTCGATAAAGCCTATAACGGATTGCTAACCCAAAAAGTACTATGTGTCAGTTCTATCAAAATTAAAAAACCAATCCAATTGTTGGATTTTGGAGGGTGGCGTAGAATGCGTTTACTCATTGTAATATACCTCTGTTGTTGCATACTAATAAAATCAAAAAATCTATAAAATAACAGGAATAACTGTCGATAAAGTCTTCGATTCAAGCAGATAAAGAATAAATTTCACTTGCGGATAATGAGAGCAAATAGTGATTGTAAGACGTTCGTAGTTTGAGCTAACAAATATTACCAATAAAATTGCTATAACTGAGTACTATGTAGCTTATTATGATATCTGTTATATTGTGAAAACTCGGTATAGCAGATCTTTCGATATAACGGAGAAAAGGACCGATATCCGATATGCAAACAAGCATATAAAAGAGATTTTTTATTCTCTTTTGTCTCTGATAAAGGCATGGAGGGTTCCCGATCTATTTTGTTAAGTGTGCTGGACCTGGCACCTGTAGTTGATTCAGCGCTTCAATCACATGTTTTGTGTAAGTAAAACATATAACAAGGCTGAGTTGGACGTGAATGCAAGTATAATAATAATGAGAGAACGCGAGTTTATGTGGAACTACAGAGATGAGAACCCGAAAGCAACTTTGAAACAAGCGGAAGGCGAGTTGAGAATCAAAAACGAGCTCAGAAAACATTATATGAAACTTTGGTGTAAGGAAAAGCTTGACCGCATTCTGAGCAAATTGAATTGATCTTCACATTCAATGAGACGCGGTATTTGCTTACATCCACAGAAAAACTGATAGACCACTATTACTGGCTTCAGATCATTTTGCGTACACTTGCTGAAACACGTGATAATGAGATAGAATCATTGATATGCGATTTTGGTCTTTCGCAATCAGTGAATTTACGCAAGTCAAATTCAACCATTCGAGGCGTTTTGCCTTTTATTGCACCGGAAGTCTTCCATACCTGCACATTTACTCAGAAATCGGATATGTATTCATTTGATATCATTATGTATTTGATTGCTACTGGTGAACCACCATTTAGAGATTGGTCGTTTGTATTTGACAAGTGTTTGGCGATACGTGTTTGTGAGGGACTGCGACCGTCGATGCCTGATTCTGCGCCAGAGGAATACAAGAAACTTGCCGAGCGGTGTTGTGATGCTGATCCTGATAAGCGTCCAATAAATGGATGGGCACTTTACCAGGAGATTCGCGATATTATTGAAGATGCGGAAAGGGATAAATCTGGTGACAATGTGTGGAATGCCGTTTATCATAATAATGTAAAGCCGCTATCGCGTCTCGAGAAGGAGAGTAAATACTCTAGCACGCTTTTACCTACTGGAGGTTTGCCTAAACCAAGAAATAGCTCTTCTCAGTTGCCTCCTTTATCAGATTTCAGCTTGCCAGTTTTAGAGGTAGAGTTAATGAAGATAGACGAGGAGTAATAATAAGGAGATAGTTTGGGTTATTAAGACAACATTATATAAACATGGTTTGGCAATGATGCACTATATTAATATTAATGTTCACAATCATTATTGCTAAATAAAAGAGATATTCGCTATTGCAATCGCTCAAGGAGACCAGAACTTGTTTGCAATTTTCACTTTAATTTTATATGTGATCGAACATGCAAACGTGTCTAATCAGTATCACTCTATTGAATATATCACGTGTTACTACATATACATTCAGAATAATTTATTATAATTCGTCCACTTCATCCGTTTCACGGTCTGCAAACATTCCGAATCAATTGCGATGTCGTAGAATCAATAGTAATAGTCCAATATTTGAGCAATAAAACTTCCTCTCAATGTTTTATACCCACTTTTCATGTCTTTAGAAAAGATTGAACCTACTCTCACACCCATTATTTATTTATATGCTACAAGTATACCCATCACCAATAATATATTAGTAATCATAGAAAAAGCAAATCTTAATTACTACAGACAACTAATATCATAAAACAAGGTCGATTGATACAGTGGACAAGTAAAAGAAACCAAATTTTATAACTCTATTAACTTTGATGACGAGTCATCATATATCGAGCACAAATGAAGTATGACAAATTTCACCAGTGTCTGTGTTTCGCGCGATTGCTTTGACTTCCATTTTACCAAACATCAGTGAAAATTCAACATGTCGATTGTCTTGAGGATGTCGAGGAGGAGAAAGATACTGCAAATAAGGCACGAGATATGGAATAGAATGTAAAAGGTTAATTCAACATATTTATGCACAACTTCAAATCCACACATCCTCTTACTGTCTCTTGTTGATTACTTACAATCTGTAGTTTACCCAACAACCTCATACCGGGATCGTCACAATATACCGCATCATCGGCTTGCGTAACAAATACATGAAACAACATTTCCGTTTGTTGAGGACTCAAACTCGACGCCTGATAAGAAAACTTCTGATCGACTGCTACTTGCATGCCACGCTGAGCGAGACGTTTAAAGTGCATTACGAAACCGCGCGGGGTACGACGTTCAATGGGATCGGTTGGCTTCCAGACATGGTAAGTTTCCACGCCGTATGTCCATTTTAAAACGCGTGTTTGGACGAGATTCATGTTTAAGCCTTTTGTTTGAAGAGCAAAAGAAAAAAGCGTGAGAATCATAAAGCTTTTATCGTAGCATATACGATTTCTATTTCTTGTTGTCAAAGAAAAAAAAAAAAAGAAAAAGTATCTCCTATAAAAAGGTTTCTGAAGATATTATGCTTGTACGCATTTTCTCAATAGACCACACAAGTATTTCATAGAAAATACTCTTACCGTATGCAAGAGCACCACGCGATACAGCAGCTATTGGATGCCTAGGCACAGCAATAATCCGTACTTTACTACTAAAAGTCTCCTTGACTCTATTTTGCAGATATTGATTCTCGGCAAATCCACCAACCATAAATATTGCTTGACACTGGCCATTCGACGCAACAAGTTGAGCCTGAATTAGTTCCAATATCCTGTTGACAACAGGATCAAACATGCTCTTTATATCTTCGAAACTTAATTCAATTAACCAATCTGCCGCGTTCAGTGCATCCGCCGCCGCTCCTGTCACATAATCCATTGCTGCTGGACAGGTCGACTCTACGTCTATCGTTCTGGGTTTATATGTGGCCCGATTTCCATTAAACGAGAATTTCACCCTAGAGCAGAAATGTTGAACAAGGTATTGTAGTTGCCCATAGTGAAGCTCGTTGAGTTTTTTGAGAGCGGCAAGACCGAATTTGCGCCCGATGAACAGGACAAATTGTTTGTCGACAAATGATGAGCCACAAAAATCTCCACTCCGGATAGTTATTTCAGAGAGGCGGTTACCTGGGAGGAGCGTTCGAGTCGTTAGATCGACTGTTCCGCCACCACAGTCGACGATCATGAACGAAGCTATGGCGAACAAAATTTAGAAATAATTAATGATAGAATTTTTTTTTTTGGAAAAGCGTTTCAGTAAATCTCAATCATCTGAAGCTGGTTATTATAATACAAATTCTATTTTTTTTTCCGTACTTACATCCAACAAGCAAATCATACTCTTTCAATGACGAAATACAATGAACTGCAGCAGCCTCAGCTATAAAGAAGATAGAAATACAAAAATCATTAGGGTATGTATCAACACTCTCTAAACCAACCCCAATTATCCCATACTCTACACGTACGTTCAGTCGTAAATTCTAGATTGTCAGCATACACATCCTCTAAGATTCCCGCTTGAGCAGCGATATCACGCATAATGCCTCTTGTTTCATCGTTCCACTCGGCCGGAACCGTCATTACAAATAAACATTGTTTTGGATACTGTATGCCGGGCCACCGTGTCGTTATTTTTTCTTTTATGACCTAAGAGGATACATTGTGTATACGGAGAATAAAGAAAAAAAGTCAGTAACTGTAAATAGAGTAGGTTATAAATGTTTTATATTTCCCCAATCACTTCAACGCCCACTCCATTTACTTATTCCATACTTTGTTAAACTCTCTCAAATAGTCAGCACAGGCTTTAGTGTAGGGTAAGCCATTAGGTAATCTCGGTCGATCTTCCTCGCGTATATTACCCATGTGCAGTTTGAACAGATCAACGTTTATGGGTTTCATTTGATTTTTGTTACCTCTTTTCGTTTTCTTGCGAGGTTCTTGCGCTAGTGCCGGGTAACCCCTAAATTATGAAAAAGTGAGGAGAGGGGCAAGATGGACGTAAAAGTATGATAATGTGCAAGAATATTCAAGGCGTGAGATGTCTCAATTGCGGTGCGTGTCTGTAGGAAACCAGTACTTGTATACCTAACGTTTGATAAATATGATAAGGTATCTTACCATTTTATCACATTAAAATTTTCGTCATAGAGCAATGCTGAATTCGTTTTGAACACTCCTGTTTGTTCTGGCCTGTTGACATTGACGAGTATTAGTCTAAATCAAATTAATAATAAGTGTAATAGTGAACAATGAATTGGTCACTTGCCATGTGTCATTTGTCACTATTTCTGGGTTCTTCTTATTAGCATATGAAAACCCTTGAAGAAAAAAAGTATGTAAAGAGAACAGTATTAAAAACAATTCAGCCTGTTATATCAAACGATCCAAAGGCATGTACGCAGTAACCATTACCTGAAAATGTGGTTCCAAGATCTTTCTTGCATTATATCAGTAACAAAGACATTCATAACCAGTTAATATTGACTGTAGACATTTCCATTCGTTCCAACATCTCTGCCTGAAGACAATTCATACAGTATTTATAAACTCCATCTCTCTCGCCACTGGGCTTACCTATAGAAATGACAACTCTGACGTCTCTGGTAATGTCTTGTCCATTCCCATATGACGATCTATTGCCGTACTCCATTTGACCAGCCATGCTTAGTTCTGCAATGTCTAATGATTATTCCGTCGTGGTAGAAAGTGGCTCTTCTTTTCAAAAATCAAAAATTTCCTGGGACACGTTTATTATTATTTCATAGAGACAGAGACTACTTTCCCAATTTTGATGAACAGAAGGGCTTGGTTTTTGTGCGACCTGACAATCGAGTCATGTAATAGTAATGCGTAACCGAAGATTCCCGCATCCACACAACAATAATTCGAGAGGCTACACATTGTGTGTAGTTTAGGCACGGAACCGTCGGGCGAAACCTTGGTACGGTTTATTGGGCGGGTTGTACTATGTAAGGACCCAAGCGAATGCAAAATTCCTAACGAATGTTCCATTCACACGAACAAAAGTTAAAAACAGCTTGACAATTACCGGTAATTCTTTTCCGTGTAGCAAAATTGAAACTTTCGCAAACAGAACGTAAACTTGAAAAAAGGTGTTAGTGTTGAATTGAGATGATATTATTATTGAAACCGGACATGAACAATTTATTTGTGGCTTCAGACTTCTCACTTCACTATTAAAACTGTGAGATACACTCACATGTCAGAAACTAACGAGTAATTCTTCTCGAGTGACGTAATATTACTCGTAATTTTATCCTAAATACCGAGAATTAATCCTAATAAATATCACACAATTTCCAACAACTCCCAATCAGAATCCTACAAATGATAAGCGGCGAACTAATTCTACTCTTAACAATCATCTCGCTCCCGACCCTAACCCGCAAAGGCACGGAATACCTTAATGCTCGTAACAACTCAGCCTCATCAAATCAAGCCCGAACTCCCAAGATCGATGGAATATTGATCCTTACAGCCCTTTGCAACCTCTACCTGGCGTTTTTCTCTTCGCCTCCAAATATATTCCGTACGTTGAATGCTCCTATCAATACTCCGTCGTTCACTTTGCGTGTTCTCTTAGAAAAAAACAAACAGCCGTTAAGTCTCTATTACTTATCTCTATTGGATAAACTACAGTCATATGAATCACGGCTTAAATACTTGGCATTCGGAGAGCATGCGTTCATGCAATGCACATATTGTAGAGACGCCATCGATTACCTCTACTTTATAGTACCCAGTAACGCAAGTTATTATATTCTCATGTCATGCATTATAGGCATAGTTACAATAACACGAAGCAAAGCACATTGGAGAACGTATGGTGTGATATCGTTAGCGGGATTTTGCTTCTATGAATTCTACACATTCGCATCGACAGACATACGAGACATACAGCCTTCACATCCTTCACTTTTCTCGACAATCCATTTCTATCGCCATTTGTTCTTTGCCATTCTTTCGATCCTTGTAATAGTAATCACGCAAGAAGACATTCGTACCGACAGCGAGATTCTCGCTTCCATTGAACGACAACAGCGTTCGATCAGCAATCAGATCAGGGGATCTAGGTTGCAGCGTGCCACTGCAATGAGAGATCCGGAACTGAGGAAAACGTACGTGAATTATTACAAGGGAAAAGGAGATGACTATGCAAGGGTGGAGAGCGATGCCGAGTACGTGAATATGAGAGAAAGGTTGTTAAGTGAACTGAGTTTGGAGAGGGAGGCAAGAGCTTATGTTGACAGTATTATTAGTATGAAGAACGAGAGTGAAATTGATGGTGGTAGCAGCAGCATTGGAGAGTAATTAGCAATGTATTAATGATAGGGACAATACTATTACAATAACTGATTGCATAATGGATACTAATTAATAAAATACTGTACGTATTGCGGGCTTTCTCACTGTGATTGGATGATTTTTTGATAAAATTTTATTGGTCGATTGAAAAATAACAGCACCCCGCTGAGATAAATATAGAAAATATTTGATATAGCTGGTTTGCTAAGCTAAGATGGTACGTTTCCCAGCATTCATCGGGATGTAAAACGAGTCCCTAGTTTTCCTTCCTTTGCGTACAACATGCACCCCATCAGTTAACTTTTCCTGCTCAGAAAATATTAACATTCAGTTATGAACACTACGCGCCCACCCTCGATCACAACATGATATGCAGACGCCTGGTATATTGTTATATAATACATTTTACTACCTTAAAATCTTTATATTCTTATTCGATAGCTTCTCCCCAATAGCAGCAGATAATCGGATACATCTATTCGGGATCGATATACGTAGTGACGACATATCATCGATATGCAGTGACTTGGAACGGATCTGGGCTTTTTTCCCTGGAACGAGAACATGCGCTAGTCTTGTTGGATTGATTCGCATTCACGATTAGTTTATACTAAATAACGAAGTTTAGAATGTTCCTTCACCTCTGGAATAATCACATACCATTTACATCACAATGTTACGCCTTTCTCTCACTTTTATTGTCGTTGCTGGAGACATATCCTGGATTAAAACAACTAAAGGTCTACTGACTAGAATTACCTTCATCGCGTTATTTTTGATGTGATACCATTTCATTGATCCTCCAATGAATATCAACCACATGGAATGTACAAAACCATAAAATTATAAAACAAAATTTTAACAACTTCAAATAACAACCTCTCAGCCTTTTACATGCCAGACATGATGTTGTCCACGCAAGATTCCATTATCAGAGCCTAAGAAAGAGTCGACGTTGAGCCAGGAGGGTGTCGATGGTGATGAAGGGCATGGCCGATATTACATTCGTCCGTGAAATGATATCAGGTTGAGTCAATATCTAGACTTGCTGAGCAATTGCGTCCCACGGCATACGAACAATTGATGCAATTCTTCGCAAATATTGACAAGAGACTTTTCGTCAGGTGATGACAATATAGGCCTACTTCTGCATTATTATTATCCAGTAAATCCAGCCAATAGTATTGCATAATTTGCTGACCAATGCTAATACTAATGGAAGTCGTTTTAAAACAATGGTATTAGCCACACCTTTAACTTTCTAGCGTGTCCTCCACTTCTGTATACAATGTCGAGTAAGTAATGAATGATATAAACCATTATCTCATAAATATTGCACCCTTGTCTGCTTACTGTGTACAAGCATTGTTGTCAACACTCGCTCATTCTTCTGTCTATAGCACAGGACGTCTCATCAGCACATGAAATTTATGACGACGACAATGAACGACGCAATGCTGATACGTGCCAGAGCTCAACACCTATGGTGCCGCACAACGCAAACCTTCAAAAGCATCTAAGGCAGGAGATCCTTATTATACAGAATGACAGAGATCTGTCTGCTGGGGAAAAGGCAAAAAAGGTTCAGGTATGTTGGAAAATCAAAAGATAGTCACAGTAGTTTATGAATTGTCCAGACCGGATCGAAACGTTGAATATTATCTGTAACATTATTCGATCAATGTAATATATGATCTGCCCTTTTGTCATTTCCAATTTCAATTCTAACGCTCTACTTTTCAAACTTCATGTTACAGGATTTAATGATGTCGAATTGGAAAGCCTTATCAAAGAAATCAACAAGAGTTGTATCTAATCGACTTACCGAAGATGATCTGGCTCCCACTTATGTAAGCATGCAGACGAGTATAAGCATAGGATGCAAGACGCGTATCACAAAACACTTTGATTATTCATTCTCAATGGTTCTCATAATTTTTATTCCTAGAACCCTGATAAAAAAGTTCTGGGTTGTGCACACTATCAAAGAGCTGCCAAGCTTCAAGCTTCATGCTGTGGAGGATGGTTCACTTGTCGATTCTGTCATGACGAAACCTGCGATCACCAAATTAACAGGTAAAAGGAAATCATATATGTTGAAGGGCTCCTAACGTACGCATGACCCAACGAGTAACATCCTGTTTTACGAAACATTCTAGGCATGAAACAAAAAAAATGCTTTGCATGTATTGTTCAGAGATCCAACCTCCGTCCCGCGTCTGCCGTGCCTGTAATCGCCACCTGGCGCGTTATTTCTGCTCCATATGCAATTTTTGGGATAATGATGCTTCCAAGCAGATCTACCACTGCGATAAATGTGGAATTTGCCGCATCGGCGAAGGATTGGGTGTCGATTTCTTCCATTGTGATGTATGTAACTGTTGCTTGGAATTGAGGATGAAAAACAATCATAGGTGTATCGAATCGAACTTGCAGCGGGATTGTCCGATCTGTGGGGAGTTTTTATTTACATCTACCTTGAAATGCATGTATTTGGTACGTATGAAGAATTGAGAGGGTGAGGAGGGACTGAATCAAAAAATACATGAAACACATAGAAATGGCTCTCGGTACTTACTTTATTATTTTACATTTTACTTTGATTAGCCTTGTGGTCATATAATGCACAACAAATGTTACTCTGAATACATAAACAGTGCATATCAATGTCCGACCTGTTGGAAAGCACTCGCAAACATGCGCCCGTATTACGATCGTATCGACGCGATTGTCTCTCAGCAGTCGATGCCCCCAGAATATGATAACTATATTTCACTTATTCTTTGCAACGACTGTGAGAAAAAGTCAAACGTGAAGTATCACTTTCTGTATCATAAATGTCCTTATTGTAAAGGATATAATACACGGGTTTTGGAGACAGAGGAAAGGGTTGGGATGGTAGTGGATGAGCGTGAGGAAGAAGAGGACGAAATAGGGGAGGAGCTGAAGATGATGGAGAATAATGGTGAAGGGAGGGGGGTTGAGATTGGGATTAGAGTTGGAGTGGTGGCAGATGTACCGGATACAAGTAACTCATCAACACCGTTAAGCACGACTCAATTATCGTCGAGCGCACAAAGTACGTCCAACTCTTTACCACCTATACCATCGCCTTCTCATTCTCAACATCATCAGTACCAATATCGGCATCTACAGCAACAACAGTATCAACAACAACAGCAGCAACAACAGCAGCAACAGCAACAGCAACAGCAACAGCAATCGTCATCATCAATAACTATTCCACAGGTATGCCGCAAGGCCTTACTACTAATAACAGAGTTTGTCGCCGATTTGTTGCGAATAGATAGTCTGGCACAAGTTACTAATGCTTTATGCCTTAATTCAGGGACGAAGGCGAAGGAGAGGACGAAACAACGGTGGTGGAAGCGTTACGGAGAGTGCAAGGGGGAATAGCAATGCAACGGGGAGAAGGAGAGAGAGTCAGTAAAGGTGAATAGAAGGCTGATATTAGTGATATTAATTAGTTTTGGTTGGTAGTATAATTAGCCAATTGATATAGAATCATGTCTGTGAATATAAAAAAAAGTATCATTGTTACAATCAATTCGGTTTGGAGGTAAATTCTTGTATTATGAACGTATATTTTAATATCATGTACACTTTTCTTGCTCTGCAATTAATATAGTTTTGGTGATTTGAATGAGAATTTGGCCTAAATTTGAGATCCTTTAAGGGTCTCTGTTTATGTAGAATGCATTTGTTGACAGTCTAACTAGCAACTCTTGTGCGGATTGATTTGTTGGAGAATGCTTTACGATGTTATGAAAACGAGATCCATGCAATTGGCCTTGACAATAAAGTTTAGTCCACTCGTTAGTTTACCATGATATGGTCCGACGTGAAAAAGTTGATACCATGCGCAAAATGCTCTAAGCGAATCATGTGAGCATACAAATTAAATAAAATGTAACGAAACTTACATTTGTCTTTCTCATGGATACGGAGCAAAGTTCTCTAACAGGTTACGAAGAGAAGACGATTCTTCGCGTCGCGTCTATTAATGCTTTTAAATAGTACTAGACGCAACGTCTAGACTTATCACCACACAAAGGAAGTTGCTTCGGTCCTTCGCATCGTAAATTTCTTGTTATTAGAAACAAATTATTGCACGCCTTTAAAAAACTTACGTCCAAGGTAATTCCGGGGTTTTGGAAAAGATCACTCGATAGAGCCAAAGAATATGATATTGGTCGAAAGTGAAATTTTTGAAATTGGAGAAATTAACGACCAGTAAAACTTTGTTGGCTGCATACATTGATACATTCTCAAACCCCACTCTGTAGTCAATTTATTTAAGAATGTCAAAAAAAATTTTTTTTTATTATCAGTATTGGTGGATCAACTTTTTGTGCCGGTCATATTGTTTTTAGGTATCGCTTCGGTCAATAATTAGTCGCTCTTGGAACAACTCGACGCGTAATTCCCGTCTTTTATCCGTGTTGCCTTGTCTTTCCGTTTCTTAAATATCGCCAGTAAACCCCTTTTCGATCATATGATCGTTAAACCGTCACGTAAAAATATTTTAAGGGGTACTCTCACTGTAGTAACAAGAAGTGTAATTGCAATTACGTGTTTTTATGTAATAAATGTTTGGTGAGGAGTGCGTTGCTAATTCACGAGAGCTACGTTAATCATGACAGTTTGTTGGTTACTGCTTGTAGAGAGCAATGAATATTTTGTCCGTTTACTGTTCCCTGAGTTAGGATCCCAGTTCAAAACCGGTCAGGAGAAAATGATGCTTCAAAATTGTAGGTGTGTAAAGAGAGCGCATCTACCATAGAGTATTGAAAATAGTTTCGATCTAATAAAGCTAATAAATAAAGAACAGCAGAAACTGAAGAATCATGCTCGAGACTGGTGAATACAAACGTGCAACAAAATAAAGTAGGCAATCTACAAAGTATACGTCACCGCAAAAGCATACAATGGTAAAACTTGCTAGATGAAATTGGCAGATGCGGTAATTGTATCATCGTTGAATAATGCGCTGACGTTGGTGTGTGCTATTCGTGATTAGTCAACTATTAAAAATTTATCTGTAATGAAATATATAACACAAAGTAACACAGTGTATAGTCATATGACAAATATGTGAGGGTTCTAAAATGCATGATCACGCCACGGCGAGCGTGGGAATTTGGGAGTTGTAGAGCAAGTTCAGAATTTTCTCAAGTAGAAATGAACGTTTTTAAAACATGCAAATTCTAAAGAACGCAAAATACTGTAAATCTATCTGATGAGGAATCTTTTTTCCAAAGAGATTTTAGCAAACCGAAATTTCTCTATTGCAAAAATATGAAGTATCTATCCTACTGCAAGGCCTTTTCCTTTTTTGACACACACAGTACTCTTAAGAATAATCCCCCCCTGTAACACATGAACTTTATCTGCACTGTCTGATGATTTGGGCAAAGTCGATTTTAGTTAATGATAACAGCATATTATTATTATTCACCTTTGTTAAAGACTTGTGTTTCGTCGGAAGATGCTCTTACAGTGTGCATGCGACACAAAGCTGCAAAATTTCTCATAGGCTGAAACCGTGCGAACTATTACTTTAGTGTAAGAGCGCCCCCATACTTTAAACGGTCCATTCAAAAGGCAGTGATGAAACCACTCCATTCTACAACCATGAGTTATTCGGATCAAAGGGTTTGATTACTTCATTATGAACATACAAGTATTAGGTCTTTGCTGATTTAAACTTGAATTTCATCATGATTTCCGGATCGAGTTAGTTATTTTGACTACCGTTACAAGCAATAATCAACACCGTACTTGTGGTCTACCGTAAATGGAAGACACACTTGGGCGCCCAATCTCTTGTTCGACTTTTTTTGCATCGTTTGTTTTCAATTTAGTGGAGCAATTAGTATTAGGACATATTAAACTCTGCATTTTTAAAACAATTGTGTTTTTTTCTCAGATAAACGTTCTACATGTTATGGGATATTATATTAACCTGGTTATGTTGACATAGAAAATTAATACCAATCATTATTATGTAGTCATACTACAACTTTAATTTTATTGTATTACCTATAAGTCTTAGTAACTTTAGGACGTTGTTGTATAAAGTTGATATATTTTGCAGTTTGATAAAAATTAATATCATAAAAGCAAATGATAAGTTATATTTGATATCTAACCGTGTCTAGTAAAAGCTAATCTTGTTTGAAAGTAATATTAGAACAATTTTATTGTAATTATTTAAACAACTCATACTTAGAATTTGGAAGCAATGAGAAAAAAGTTATCTTAATAATATTGATAAAACAACTCAACGTAAATAGATATTAGCATTACGTACTTGAAGCATCTATCACGCATCGAGGCAGCATAATAAATCTGTAGTTGTTGTAGCTGTACAATGTGCGACGGCTCCATTACTAATTAATGGTTTATTACTAGTATCGATTGCTAGTAAGATGCGCGTACATTATGTCCCATATCATATGCAACCTAATCGTATAAGTTTTAAACGAGAAAAAAATTTTTTTTTTTCATCATGTAAAATCGATACTAACACTAAACAAACAGTGGATACTGAAAGTTCAAACTAGCAATTAAACTAATACAGAATATCCAGGATATATACCGTAAGCATTAGTTGTTATCTGGCATGTGATCGGTTGTACAATAGACGTAAGTAGTTTGACCTGTACAAATTTGTAGACTGGCGCTTGTCTAGATTCTCGCAAAATTCCGTGCAGCAGTATGCAGCATCTCCGTAATAGTACAACAAAGCGATTGATCATCTATCTAAAGTTCGAGATGAGCTTCCCCGTCGAAGTCAATATTGGAATCTTGTCCACAACCAAGATATTATTGGAATAGTGTGGGGGACAGTAAAAAAATTTTTTATTTGTGATGCACAAACACACATGATTCTTAAGTAATATGTTCGTGCATGTCTGGTATGTTTTGCTATAACCCATTGCTATTATGTTTGGTTTAGTTGGATAATCAAAAGACCAATGGTTTTACGTTCACGTGAATGTAAAAGAATTTTGGTAACACACAAAGAAAGAAACAAAGAAAGACCGTTCGCCTCATTGTCGAAAATTTCTTTGTGTGATGGCTAAACATTTTCCCGTCGTACTACATAACTTTATATGTTCACGCTCACACACTTCTATATTTTATTGGCCCCAAAAAGTGACCCGGTCAGCTGGTATGCAGCTTACTGCAATTATTAACAAATTAGATTGTGCTGTTCCCTGCACTTGGGGCATGCATTATTATTATCAATCCATAGTCAATCCATAGTCAAGGCATATATATGCGTATAATATACTTTTCAATACAAACGTTTATGGACAGTCACAAATGGTAATCATCCGAACCAAGAAAGTTTGTCTAATTTATACCTGGGTAAAAAAGCCCCTTAAATTTATTACAAAAAAGACAATATTCGGCTTTTCTGCTACTTTACTGTTAACAAGAATACCAATTGTGCTACAGTACAACGTAAAATAAAAATGTCCGGCATTCCTTTACCGTTCCGCTGTATGAAGAAAGGGACTCACGCGCGCCACTTGTCAAAAAATCAAATACTGGCGAGCGCCATAACCCGCTATTCACTGCCACGATGCTGGCTACGATATATGGCCCTGGCAAACGAGCCAGATTCAGTATATGTTATTTACATGCTCTAACATAATCAACGAGTTTCCGCCCTTGTTAGAATATTCCTTTCCTTCCTATCATTCCATCACTAAATAAAAAAAGTCATTCCCGATGCAGTTCGCTATATTTTTGGTATGTGTTTTGCTCTCTTATTAGATAAAGCTAATTGATTATTGTGGAGAAGGTTTCGGTGGAAATCTGTAACCCACCAATTACATCGAGATTAATCTACTTATCCCATCCGGCGAACCATATTTCCACCATAATGCGATTTATTCAAGGCGTTTAGTTTCACAAAAATCAAACAACCTGGCTATCTACCGGATAGTACTATGGGAAAAAAGTGGTATAAATCAAATGGATGCGTCATTGTGATGTCGCTCGCTGCAATTGACTAAAACAAACCTATTACTATACTAAACAGAATAGGTAAAACTTAATAGTCATGTGAACGGATTTTCTATATATAAACGTACATAGCCAGACATAGCATCTGTGGCTACATGGTAATTAGAAAACTTTGTCCTTATAGAAAAAGACATTCTTACACTTTGTCAATTAGTTAACGCTGACGAGGCATAAACACAAAGTCTCTCAATACGAATTGCTGCTTACAACTTACTTTGGAAAATATGCACCGTAAGTATATCTTTTTTTTTATTAATGTCTATAACTAAAACACTTATAAGACCAATTCCCGTGCTGCCCGCCCACTCTTGCATTTAAAACTAGTTTTGGATATGACTAATTTTTATTAATATTCGCGCATTCCTTGTTGTAGCGTCTATTAACTAGTTTGTGATTAATTTGCTATATAGTCTTTCGATTTTCGGACAACGGCCACAACGAAGACTTTGTGCAAAAAATAAAGACACTGCTCGAGTCGTTCAACAAACTAGATGAAGAAGACTTTGATAAGATATACGAACAGTACATACATCCAGTAGTCAATGCCAGGTTTGACTACAGACTCACACAAGTTGCATTTGCGGCATTATGTCTTCACGTGGCATTACTCGGGTCAGCATCTTATACGGAAAAACATGGACCTTATGTCGCTTCGAAAATAGCAGCATGGACAATCAATGATGCGAAATTAAAAGTTCTCACCCATATAATTCGTTTGCTCAACATTGCAGAGTGCGGATGGGACATTGACTACTCGGTAAAGACAATCGAAGAGATAGTGGAAACCATATCTTTACCCAGCACTATAGCTTCATGGAATGGAACTATCTCTGGTGTAAATACGGACAATTATTCATTGACGACGACAAAGGTCGTTTTCTTAGACTTTCTGAATGTAGTCTGCGCTTACTGTTCGCTTGAAGGAGCACGGCGTCTAGTAAAGTTTTTTGTACGCTGTTATATAACGAGCTATTTTCATGACAAAGAAGACGATGGCTATAATTTGACAAAAGTATGTGACGAAATAGTAAGAAATCCCAAGTTTTACAACTTTCCATACATCAAAGACGTATTTTTTGACCTTTGTACGGAAGAGCTCTTGTTTATTGGACCACGAACTACCGAAACGCCCTCTACTCAGTTTATTGAAACTCTGAAAATTTTCGAAATTCTGAAAAACTCTTGTTATCAAGCTATTCCACACGCCGCTCACTTATTTACGCCTACAAAAAACCCGACTGTCGATAGCGATTACATCACGGATTCTAATTTTAGTTCCTCCTCCGATTCCGATCTCGACCTCCAAAGCCCAAACAATGAGCCTTCCAGTTATAGTAACGCGCGGGCTCTACGGAATCGGATGCGGGCAATTATTGATCTCATCGGAACTATTCCAGCGGAACACTTTAACGACAGGCAAAAGGACGGGTTGATTCTCCAGGCGATGTTTGTGGAAAAAATAGTTGATAAGAAAGGGCTCGATATCTCTGATACCATGCAAGTTTGTAGAAGGTTTATTTATAAAATGATGAATAACGGTAGCCAGGGCATGTTGATTTATCATCCGGCGTACTACATATGGTGGATCACAAATGCGATATCTCAAGACCAAAAAATGCAAAGGTATGCCAAGTCTCCCAAATACGTCGCGTATGAAAAAGAAATATTGGACCAAATGGCCGACATTATCGACAAAACGGTAAAGGTGGCACGAATGTCGATGCGATTTCTATTCCAAAACCCATCATCAAGGTATACGTTGCGATACGTAAATGCAACAAGTGAATTCCTGAGAAACTTGCCAATACGACTTTTATCGGTCGATAATTTTGCCAAATGGATGGATGATACCATAGAAAACCTCGAGCATCAATGGTGTCTGCGACTTGTTACCGATTTTTTAGAGGACGGTATTCAATGTTACAATGACTGTAAATCCCTGGTAACACTATCACTTTTTGTCAAAGATCAATTAAATGTAGCGTTGGACTGCTTAACTGACAAGCGATACACGGAATTTCTGATCGACAAATTTGAAGAAGTCGAACTTTTTCTGAGAGCTCTCAAAATTGTTGTCACATATGTCAAACGCATGCCAGAAATTGCAGTCAAAAGAGACATTCTTGACCATATTAATGAAAAACTAAACAGACTTGCCATGACAATTTTAATCATTATGGATTGTACGGAAGATATCAGCCAGCGTGTAGTAGAAAATATGTTGACAGTCTTTTCCATATCGGTCGATTGTGTCCAGTTCTCAAATAATGAAACAGCCAGCGCGTGGAAATTATTGCTAATGTTCTGTGAGTTGCTCTGTCTGTTGACGAGTCGCACATCAACGGGAATTCAGTCAGCCGAACGGATGGTCAGCAAATTTATTGATACTTTAACGAGAAATCAATTCGAATACGCCTACAAAGGCATGATCAATATAATCAAGGACAAGATCAAGGAAAATGCGACCAACGATCTCAACATTCTCGTCAAGTTAATCGACTGCATGATAAGAAGAAAAGAATTTGATGAATCGATAAAGAAAAATCTGACGGTAGTGATTGGTCCGTTATGCAACGCTGGTTACCGTCGAATAACGCAACATACTTTGATTCGCCTGATGAATTTAATCACATATATCTGCAGTCTGGAAGACTTTAGCATACGATTGGCACATATCGACGATATAATCACGATGCTTCACGCGCTTGTCTGTAATTACGAACCGGACAATCAAACCGAATCAGTATCGATATTTATCGAAGTCTGCAGATTGCTTTTCACGCTAGTCACATCACACAGTTTGGAACTGAAAAAGTCGGGAGCAATTCGTCTGGTTGCACCGACGACCTACATCTTGTTGATACTGCTAAAGGGTCCGCAAACCGGTGGTCATGCCTTGACGCCCAAGTTTGCCATACAATCGGTGGACAAACATACTCGTGAAACAATGGCGCATCAATTTCGAGAGCTCCTCGAGGCCATCTCCCATAATCTGCGCTTCACCATGATTATAGAAGACGTTCCACTCATTCTTTCGGAATACATCAGTCTGCTGCTCGTCGAAACAAGAAAAAGTGTCAGAGATATCTTGAGGCCGGGCACGTTTGCCCTGTTTGATCTGTGTTCTAAAAATGAGGTTGAGACAACTGTGGGTTATCTAAGCGATGTTGGAGAGAAACTGTTTGGAGAATTGTGGATTGAGTACAATGCAAAGATTAATATGTGAACAATATTTCCACATACAAAAACAGTGCCACCGCAGAGGTGGTTGTTTGCGCAAAGTACAATTTTTTACGCCATTGTTTGGTTATACATCTTTCGTTTAATATAAATTGTTACGTACTTTTACTTTTGTATATGATTTATTTAGAATAATCTTGTTTAAGAGAGTGTCACAAACTATTTTAAACAAGAAATACTGTAATATAATAAATTTTACTGTTGGACACCTTTAAAGATGACGGTTGTATCCCACCTTCCCTCTCTTTTCTCCCTCACGGTAGCCTTGTAAAGTCTGATACGATTATTAATCAATGCCCGTTGGAATGCGCCTTTCCTACTCTATATGGTTGCGGCGCCCGTCAATATCCAAGTACGTATATGGATAGCGGGCTTGTCTAAACCAAAGTCTAAACTTACCCAAACAGATTTAGCCGAATTATATTATTTATGTATCACTTGAAGATAAATTTTATTTACAAGCTAATTTTGGAAATGGTTACAAAAGAACAGTATCGAAGGCTTGATGTTGTATACGTGCTTACCAAACAAACTTCTTAACAACTTATTTAATTGGGGCATATTAATATTACAGTTCAAGTTGACAAAGTTGAATTCACGTGATTGCAAATTGTATCACACAGTCCACTTCTTTTATAATTTTAACTAACGTATATAAGTAATTGGTCCCTCGTAATTTGGGATGAAAATGGGCAAATGTTTTGGCATATCATGTACGGTAACGAGCATAAGTATTCGAACGCTCCTAGTTTGGAATAAACATTTGAAAATTCATCTTGCGTGCATACCACAATTTCAGCCTGATTGGATGCCTCCAGAAAATTTTCCAGTGTTCAATATTTGCCTCTAAAAACACATAAAAACACATAAAACATATCAATACATATCAAAGTACACATCGTTTATTTCGCTTCAAAATTCAATATCTCCACGCGTTTCTAATCGATTTGCGTAAATTTTTGGTTTGTAACTTATATTTGTCAACCAAACACTATTTATCAATATTATGTCACACAATTATTTGCATTTTAGTAGTGCAGAGAAACAGAATACAAAATTTGTGTCGAGATGATTCTTATGGTCAAAATCCTTAGGCAAATATTGAACACTGGAAAATTTTCTGGAGGCATCCAATCAGGCTGAAATTGTGGTATGCACGCAAGATGAATTTTCAAATGTTTATTCCAAACTAGGAGCGTTCGAATACTTATGCTCGTTACCGTACATGATATGCCAAAACATTTGCCCATTTTCATCCCAAATTACGAGGGACCAATTACTTATATACGTTAGTTAAAATTATAAAAGAAGTGGACTGTGTGATACAATTTGCAATCACGTGAATTCAACTTTGTCAACTTGAACTGTAATATTAATATGCCCCAATTAAATAAGTTGTTAAGAAGTTTGTTTGGTAAGCACGTATACAACATCAAGCCTTCGATACTGTTCTTTTGTAACCATTTCCAAAATTAGCTTGTAAATAAAATTTATCTTCAAGTGATACATAAATAATATAATTCGGCTAAATCTGTTTGGGTAAGTTTAGACTTTGGTTTAGACAAGCCCGCTATCCATATACGTACTTGGATATTGACGGGCGCCGCAACCATATAGAGTAGGAAAGGCGCATTCCAACGGGCATTGATTAATAATCGTATCAGACTTTACAAGGCTACCGTGAGGGAGAAAAGAGAGGGAAGGTGGGATACAACCGTCATCTTTAAAGGTGTCCAACAGTAAAATTTATTATATTACAGTATTTCTTGTTTAAAATAGTTTGTGACACTCTCTTAAACAAGATTATTCTAAATAAATCATATACAAAAGTAAAAGTACGTAACAATTTATATTAAACGAAAGATGTATAACCAAACAATGGCGTAAAAAATTGTACTTTGCGCAAACAACCACCTCTGCGGTGGCACTGTTTTTGTATGTGGAAATATTGTTCACATATTAATCTTTGCATTGTACTCAATCCACAATTCTCCAAACAGTTTCTCTCCAACATCGCTTAGATAACCCACAGTTGTCTCAACCTCATTTTTAGAACACAGATCAAACAGGGCAAACGTGCCCGGCCTCAAGATATCTCTGACACTTTTTCTTGTTTCGACGAGCAGCAGACTGATGTATTCCGAAAGAATGAGTGGAACGTCTTCTATAATCATGGTGAAGCGCAGATTATGGGAGATGGCCTCGAGGAGCTCTCGAAATTGATGCGCCATTGTTTCACGAGTATGTTTGTCCACCGATTGTATGGCAAACTTGGGCGTCAAGGCATGACCACCGGTTTGCGGACCCTTTAGCAGTATCAACAAGATGTAGGTCGTCGGTGCAACCAGACGAATTGCTCCCGACTTTTTCAGTTCCAAACTGTGTGATGTGACTAGCGTGAAAAGCAATCTGCAGACTTCGATAAATATCGATACTGATTCGGTTTGATTGTCCGGTTCGTAATTACAGACAAGCGCGTGAAGCATCGTGATTATATCGTCGATATGTGCCAATCGTATGCTAAAGTCTTCCAGACTGCAGATATATGTGATTAAATTCATCAGGCGAATCAAAGTATGTTGCGTTATTCGACGGTAACCAGCGTTGCATAACGGACCAATCACTACCGTCAGATTTTTCTTTATCGATTCATCAAATTCTTTTCTTCTTATCATGCAGTCGATTAACTTGACGAGAATGTTGAGATCGTTGGTCGCATTTTCCTTGATCTTGTCCTTGATTATATTGATCATGCCTTTGTAGGCGTATTCGAATTGATTTCTCGTTAAAGTATCAATAAATTTGCTGACCATCCGTTCGGCTGACTGAATTCCCGTTGATGTGCGACTCGTCAACAGACAGAGCAACTCACAGAACATTAGCAATAATTTCCACGCGCTGGCTGTTTCATTATTTGAGAACTGGACACAATCGACCGATATGGAAAAGACTGTCAACATATTTTCTACTACACGCTGGCTGATATCTTCCGTACAATCCATAATGATTAAAATTGTCATGGCAAGTCTGTTTAGTTTTTCATTAATATGGTCAAGAATGTCTCTTTTGACTGCAATTTCTGGCATGCGTTTGACATATGTGACAACAATTTTGAGAGCTCTCAGAAAAAGTTCGACTTCTTCAAATTTGTCGATCAGAAATTCCGTGTATCGCTTGTCAGTTAAGCAGTCCAACGCTACATTTAATTGATCTTTGACAAAAAGTGATAGTGTTACCAGGGATTTACAGTCATTGTAACATTGAATACCGTCCTCTAAAAAATCGGTAACAAGTCGCAGACACCATTGATGCTCGAGGTTTTCTATGGTATCATCCATCCATTTGGCAAAATTATCGACCGATAAAAGTCGTATTGGCAAGTTTCTCAGGAATTCACTTGTTGCATTTACGTATCGCAACGTATACCTTGATGATGGGTTTTGGAATAGAAATCGCATCGACATTCGTGCCACCTTTACCGTTTTGTCGATAATGTCGGCCATTTGGTCCAATATTTCTTTTTCATACGCGACGTATTTGGGAGACTTGGCATACCTTTGCATTTTTTGGTCTTGAGATATCGCATTTGTGATCCACCATATGTAGTACGCCGGATGATAAATCAACATGCCCTGGCTACCGTTATTCATCATTTTATAAATAAACCTTCTACAAACTTGCATGGTATCAGAGATATCGAGCCCTTTCTTATCAACTATTTTTTCCACAAACATCGCCTGGAGAATCAACCCGTCCTTTTGCCTGTCGTTAAAGTGTTCCGCTGGAATAGTTCCGATGAGATCAATAATTGCCCGCATCCGATTCCGTAGAGCCCGCGCGTTACTATAACTGGAAGGCTCATTGTTTGGGCTTTGGAGGTCGAGATCGGAATCGGAGGAGGAACTAAAATTAGAATCCGTGATGTAATCGCTATCGACAGTCGGGTTTTTTGTAGGCGTAAATAAGTGAGCGGCGTGTGGAATAGCTTGATAACAAGAGTTTTTCAGAATTTCGAAAATTTTCAGAGTTTCAATAAACTGAGTAGAGGGCGTTTCGGTAGTTCGTGGTCCAATAAACAAGAGCTCTTCCGTACAAAGGTCAAAAAATACGTCTTTGATGTATGGAAAGTTGTAAAACTTGGGATTTCTTACTATTTCGTCACATACTTTTGTCAAATTATAGCCATCGTCTTCTTTGTCATGAAAATAGCTCGTTATATAACAGCGTACAAAAAACTTTACTAGACGCCGTGCTCCTTCAAGCGAACAGTAAGCGCAGACTACATTCAGAAAGTCTAAGAAAACGACCTTTGTCGTCGTCAATGAATAATTGTCCGTATTTACACCAGAGATAGTTCCATTCCATGAAGCTATAGTGCTGGGTAAAGATATGGTTTCCACTATCTCTTCGATTGTCTTTACCGAGTAGTCAATGTCCCATCCGCACTCTGCAATGTTGAGCAAACGAATTATATGGGTGAGAACTTTTAATTTCGCATCATTGATTGTCCATGCTGCTATTTTCGAAGCGACATAAGGTCCATGTTTTTCCGTATAAGATGCTGACCCGAGTAATGCCACGTGAAGACATAATGCCGCAAATGCAACTTGTGTGAGTCTGTAGTCAAACCTGGCATTGACTACTGGATGTATGTACTGTTCGTATATCTTATCAAAGTCTTCTTCATCTAGTTTGTTGAACGACTCGAGCAGTGTCTTTATTTTTTGCACAAAGTCTTCGTTGTGGCCGTTGTCCGAAAATCGAAAGACTATATAGCAAATTAATCACAAACTAGTTAATAGACGCTACAACAAGGAATGCGCGAATATTAATAAAAATTAGTCATATCCAAAACTAGTTTTAAATGCAAGAGTGGGCGGGCAGCACGGGAATTGGTCTTATAAGTGTTTTAGTTATAGACATTAATAAAAAAAAAGATATACTTACGGTGCATATTTTCCAAAGTAAGTTGTAAGCAGCAATTCGTATTGAGAGACTTTGTGTTTATGCCTCGTCAGCGTTAACTAATTGACAAAGTGTAAGAATGTCTTTTTCTATAAGGACAAAGTTTTCTAATTACCATGTAGCCACAGATGCTATGTCTGGCTATGTACGTTTATATATAGAAAATCCGTTCACATGACTATTAAGTTTTACCTATTCTGTTTAGTATAGTAATAGGTTTGTTTTAGTCAATTGCAGCGAGCGACATCACAATGACGCATCCATTTGATTTATACCACTTTTTTCCCATAGTACTATCCGGTAGATAGCCAGGTTGTTTGATTTTTGTGAAACTAAACGCCTTGAATAAATCGCATTATGGTGGAAATATGGTTCGCCGGATGGGATAAGTAGATTAATCTCGATGTAATTGGTGGGTTACAGATTTCCACCGAAACCTTCTCCACAATAATCAATTAGCTTTATCTAATAAGAGAGCAAAACACATACCAAAAATATAGCGAACTGCATCGGGAATGACTTTTTTTATTTAGTGATGGAATGATAGGAAGGAAAGGAATATTCTAACAAGGGCGGAAACTCGTTGATTATGTTAGAGCATGTAAATAACATATACTGAATCTGGCTCGTTTGCCAGGGCCATATATCGTAGCCAGCATCGTGGCAGTGAATAGCGGGTTATGGCGCTCGCCAGTATTTGATTTTTTGACAAGTGGCGCGCGTGAGTCCCTTTCTTCATACAGCGGAACGGTAAAGGAATGCCGGACATTTTTATTTTACGTTGTACTGTAGCACAATTGGTATTCTTGTTAACAGTAAAGTAGCAGAAAAGCCGAATATTGTCTTTTTTGTAATAAATTTAAGGGGCTTTTTTACCCAGGTATAAATTAGACAAACTTTCTTGGTTCGGATGATTACCATTTGTGACTGTCCATAAACGTTTGTATTGAAAAGTATATTATACGCATATATATGCCTTGACTATGGATTGACTATGGATTGATAATAATAATGCATGCCCCAAGTGCAGGGAACAGCACAATCTAATTTGTTAATAATTGCAGTAAGCTGCATACCAGCTGACCGGGTCACTTTTTGGGGCCAATAAAATATAGAAGTGTGTGAGCGTGAACATATAAAGTTATGTAGTACGACGGGAAAATGTTTAGCCATCACACAAAGAAATTTTCGACAATGAGGCGAACGGTCTTTCTTTGTTTCTTTCTTTGTGTGTTACCAAAATTCTTTTACATTCACGTGAACGTAAAACCATTGGTCTTTTGATTATCCAACTAAACCAAACATAATAGCAATGGGTTATAGCAAAACATACCAGACATGCACGAACATATTACTTAAGAATCATGTGTGTTTGTGCATCACAAATAAAAAATTTTTTTACTGTCCCCCACACTATTCCAATAATATCTTGGTTGTGGACAAGATTCCAATATTGACTTCGACGGGGAAGCTCATCTCGAACTTTAGATAGATGATCAATCGCTTTGTTGTACTATTACGGAGATGCTGCATACTGCTGCACGGAATTTTGCGAGAATCTAGACAAGCGCCAGTCTACAAATTTGTACAGGTCAAACTACTTACGTCTATTGTACAACCGATCACATGCCAGATAACAACTAATGCTTACGGTATATATCCTGGATATTCTGTATTAGTTTAATTGCTAGTTTGAACTTTCAGTATCCACTGTTTGTTTAGTGTTAGTATCGATTTTACATGATGAAAAAAAAAAATTTTTTTCTCGTTTAAAACTTATACGATTAGGTTGCATATGATATGGGACATAATGTACGCGCATCTTACTAGCAATCGATACTAGTAATAAACCATTAATTAGTAATGGAGCCGTCGCACATTGTACAGCTACAACAACTACAGATTTATTATGCTGCCTCGATGCGTGATAGATGCTTCAAGTACGTAATGCTAATATCTATTTACGTTGAGTTGTTTTATCAATATTATTAAGATAACTTTTTTCTCATTGCTTCCAAATTCTAAGTATGAGTTGTTTAAATAATTACAATAAAATTGTTCTAATATTACTTTCAAACAAGATTAGCTTTTACTAGACACGGTTAGATATCAAATATAACTTATCATTTGCTTTTATGATATTAATTTTTATCAAACTGCAAAATATATCAACTTTATACAACAACGTCCTAAAGTTACTAAGACTTATAGGTAATACAATAAAATTAAAGTTGTAGTATGACTACATAATAATGATTGGTATTAATTTTCTATGTCAACATAACCAGGTTAATATAATATCCCATAACATGTAGAACGTTTATCTGAGAAAAAAACACAATTGTTTTAAAAATGCAGAGTTTAATATGTCCTAATACTAATTGCTCCACTAAATTGAAAACAAACGATGCAAAAAAAGTCGAACAAGAGATTGGGCGCCCAAGTGTGTCTTCCATTTACGGTAGACCACAAGTACGGTGTTGATTATTGCTTGTAACGGTAGTCAAAATAACTAACTCGATCCGGAAATCATGATGAAATTCAAGTTTAAATCAGCAAAGACCTAATACTTGTATGTTCATAATGAAGTAATCAAACCCTTTGATCCGAATAACTCATGGTTGTAGAATGGAGTGGTTTCATCACTGCCTTTTGAATGGACCGTTTAAAGTATGGGGGCGCTCTTACACTAAAGTAATAGTTCGCACGGTTTCAGCCTATGAGAAATTTTGCAGCTTTGTGTCGCATGCACACTGTAAGAGCATCTTCCGACGAAACACAAGTCTTTAACAAAGGTGAATAATAATAATATGCTGTTATCATTAACTAAAATCGACTTTGCCCAAATCATCAGACAGTGCAGATAAAGTTCATGTGTTACAGGGGGGGATTATTCTTAAGAGTACTGTGTGTGTCAAAAAAGGAAAAGGCCTTGCAGTAGGATAGATACTTCATATTTTTGCAATAGAGAAATTTCGGTTTGCTAAAATCTCTTTGGAAAAAAGATTCCTCATCAGATAGATTTACAGTATTTTGCGTTCTTTAGAATTTGCATGTTTTAAAAACGTTCATTTCTACTTGAGAAAATTCTGAACTTGCTCTACAACTCCCAAATTCCCACGCTCGCCGTGGCGTGATCATGCATTTTAGAACCCTCACATATTTGTCATATGACTATACACTGTGTTACTTTGTGTTATATATTTCATTACAGATAAATTTTTAATAGTTGACTAATCACGAATAGCACACACCAACGTCAGCGCATTATTCAACGATGATACAATTACCGCATCTGCCAATTTCATCTAGCAAGTTTTACCATTGTATGCTTTTGCGGTGACGTATACTTTGTAGATTGCCTACTTTATTTTGTTGCACGTTTGTATTCACCAGTCTCGAGCATGATTCTTCAGTTTCTGCTGTTCTTTATTTATTAGCTTTATTAGATCGAAACTATTTTCAATACTCTATGGTAGATGCGCTCTCTTTACACACCTACAATTTTGAAGCATCATTTTCTCCTGACCGGTTTTGAACTGGGATCCTAACTCAGGGAACAGTAAACGGACAAAATATTCATTGCTCTCTACAAGCAGTAACCAACAAACTGTCATGATTAACGTAGCTCTCGTGAATTAGCAACGCACTCCTCACCAAACATTTATTACATAAAAACACGTAATTGCAATTACACTTCTTGTTACTACAGTGAGAGTACCCCTTAAAATATTTTTACGTGACGGTTTAACGATCATATGATCGAAAAGGGGTTTACTGGCGATATTTAAGAAACGGAAAGACAAGGCAACACGGATAAAAGACGGGAATTACGCGTCGAGTTGTTCCAAGAGCGACTAATTATTGACCGAAGCGATACCTAAAAACAATATGACCGGCACAAAAAGTTGATCCACCAATACTGATAATAAAAAAAAATTTTTTTTGACATTCTTAAATAAATTGACTACAGAGTGGGGTTTGAGAATGTATCAATGTATGCAGCCAACAAAGTTTTACTGGTCGTTAATTTCTCCAATTTCAAAAATTTCACTTTCGACCAATATCATATTCTTTGGCTCTATCGAGTGATCTTTTCCAAAACCCCGGAATTACCTTGGACGTAAGTTTTTTAAAGGCGTGCAATAATTTGTTTCTAATAACAAGAAATTTACGATGCGAAGGACCGAAGCAACTTCCTTTGTGTGGTGATAAGTCTAGACGTTGCGTCTAGTACTATTTAAAAGCATTAATAGACGCGACGCGAAGAATCGTCTTCTCTTCGTAACCTGTTAGAGAACTTTGCTCCGTATCCATGAGAAAGACAAATGTAAGTTTCGTTACATTTTATTTAATTTGTATGCTCACATGATTCGCTTAGAGCATTTTGCGCATGGTATCAACTTTTTCACGTCGGACCATATCATGGTAAACTAACGAGTGGACTAAACTTTATTGTCAAGGCCAATTGCATGGATCTCGTTTTCATAACATCGTAAAGCATTCTCCAACAAATCAATCCGCACAAGAGTTGCTAGTTAGACTGTCAACAAATGCATTCTACATAAACAGAGACCCTTAAAGGATCTCAAATTTAGGCCAAATTCTCATTCAAATCACCAAAACTATATTAATTGCAGAGCAAGAAAAGTGTACATGATATTAAAATATACGTTCATAATACAAGAATTTACCTCCAAACCGAATTGATTGTAACAATGATACTTTTTTTTATATTCACAGACATGATTCTATATCAATTGGCTAATTATACTACCAACCAAAACTAATTAATATCACTAATATCAGCCTTCTATTCACCTTTACTGACTCTCTCTCCTTCTCCCCGTTGCATTGCTATTCCCCCTTGCACTCTCCGTAACGCTTCCACCACCGTTGTTTCGTCCTCTCCTTCGCCTTCGTCCCTGAATTAAGGCATAAAGCATTAGTAACTTGTGCCAGACTATCTATTCGCAACAAATCGGCGACAAACTCTGTTATTAGTAGTAAGGCCTTGCGGCATACCTGTGGAATAGTTATTGATGATGACGATTGCTGTTGCTGTTGCTGTTGCTGTTGCTGCTGTTGTTGCTGCTGTTGTTGTTGATACTGTTGTTGCTGTAGATGCCGATATTGGTACTGATGATGTTGAGAATGAGAAGGCGATGGTATAGGTGGTAAAGAGTTGGACGTACTTTGTGCGCTCGACGATAATTGAGTCGTGCTTAACGGTGTTGATGAGTTACTTGTATCCGGTACATCTGCCACCACTCCAACTCTAATCCCAATCTCAACCCCCCTCCCTTCACCATTATTCTCCATCATCTTCAGCTCCTCCCCTATTTCGTCCTCTTCTTCCTCACGCTCATCCACTACCATCCCAACCCTTTCCTCTGTCTCCAAAACCCGTGTATTATATCCTTTACAATAAGGACATTTATGATACAGAAAGTGATACTTCACGTTTGACTTTTTCTCACAGTCGTTGCAAAGAATAAGTGAAATATAGTTATCATATTCTGGGGGCATCGACTGCTGAGAGACAATCGCGTCGATACGATCGTAATACGGGCGCATGTTTGCGAGTGCTTTCCAACAGGTCGGACATTGATATGCACTGTTTATGTATTCAGAGTAACATTTGTTGTGCATTATATGACCACAAGGCTAATCAAAGTAAAATGTAAAATAATAAAGTAAGTACCGAGAGCCATTTCTATGTGTTTCATGTATTTTTTGATTCAGTCCCTCCTCACCCTCTCAATTCTTCATACGTACCAAATACATGCATTTCAAGGTAGATGTAAATAAAAACTCCCCACAGATCGGACAATCCCGCTGCAAGTTCGATTCGATACACCTATGATTGTTTTTCATCCTCAATTCCAAGCAACAGTTACATACATCACAATGGAAGAAATCGACACCCAATCCTTCGCCGATGCGGCAAATTCCACATTTATCGCAGTGGTAGATCTGCTTGGAAGCATCATTATCCCAAAAATTGCATATGGAGCAGAAATAACGCGCCAGGTGGCGATTACAGGCACGGCAGACGCGGGACGGAGGTTGGATCTCTGAACAATACATGCAAAGCATTTTTTTTGTTTCATGCCTAGAATGTTTCGTAAAACAGGATGTTACTCGTTGGGTCATGCGTACGTTAGGAGCCCTTCAACATATATGATTTCCTTTTACCTGTTAATTTGGTGATCGCAGGTTTCGTCATGACAGAATCGACAAGTGAACCATCCTCCACAGCATGAAGCTTGAAGCTTGGCAGCTCTTTGATAGTGTGCACAACCCAGAACTTTTTTATCAGGGTTCTAGGAATAAAAATTATGAGAACCATTGAGAATGAATAATCAAAGTGTTTTGTGATACGCGTCTTGCATCCTATGCTTATACTCGTCTGCATGCTTACATAAGTGGGAGCCAGATCATCTTCGGTAAGTCGATTAGATACAACTCTTGTTGATTTCTTTGATAAGGCTTTCCAATTCGACATCATTAAATCCTGTAACATGAAGTTTGAAAAGTAGAGCGTTAGAATTGAAATTGGAAATGACAAAAGGGCAGATCATATATTACATTGATCGAATAATGTTACAGATAATATTCAACGTTTCGATCCGGTCTGGACAATTCATAAACTACTGTGACTATCTTTTGATTTTCCAACATACCTGAACCTTTTTTGCCTTTTCCCCAGCAGACAGATCTCTGTCATTCTGTATAATAAGGATCTCCTGCCTTAGATGCTTTTGAAGGTTTGCGTTGTGCGGCACCATAGGTGTTGAGCTCTGGCACGTATCAGCATTGCGTCGTTCATTGTCGTCGTCATAAATTTCATGTGCTGATGAGACGTCCTGTGCTATAGACAGAAGAATGAGCGAGTGTTGACAACAATGCTTGTACACAGTAAGCAGACAAGGGTGCAATATTTATGAGATAATGGTTTATATCATTCATTACTTACTCGACATTGTATACAGAAGTGGAGGACACGCTAGAAAGTTAAAGGTGTGGCTAATACCATTGTTTTAAAACGACTTCCATTAGTATTAGCATTGGTCAGCAAATTATGCAATACTATTGGCTGGATTTACTGGATAATAATAATGCAGAAGTAGGCCTATATTGTCATCACCTGACGAAAAGTCTCTTGTCAATATTTGCGAAGAATTGCATCAATTGTTCGTATGCCGTGGGACGCAATTGCTCAGCAAGTCTAGATATTGACTCAACCTGATATCATTTCACGGACGAATGTAATATCGGCCATGCCCTTCATCACCATCGACACCCTCCTGGCTCAACGTCGACTCTTTCTTAGGCTCTGATAATGGAATCTTGCGTGGACAACATCATGTCTGGCATGTAAAAGGCTGAGAGGTTGTTATTTGAAGTTGTTAAAATTTTGTTTTATAATTTTATGGTTTTGTACATTCCATGTGGTTGATATTCATTGGAGGATCAATGAAATGGTATCACATCAAAAATAACGCGATGAAGGTAATTCTAGTCAGTAGACCTTTAGTTGTTTTAATCCAGGATATGTCTCCAGCAACGACAATAAAAGTGAGAGAAAGGCGTAACATTGTGATGTAAATGGTATGTGATTATTCCAGAGGTGAAGGAACATTCTAAACTTCGTTATTTAGTATAAACTAATCGTGAATGCGAATCAATCCAACAAGACTAGCGCATGTTCTCGTTCCAGGGAAAAAAGCCCAGATCCGTTCCAAGTCACTGCATATCGATGATATGTCGTCACTACGTATATCGATCCCGAATAGATGTATCCGATTATCTGCTGCTATTGGGGAGAAGCTATCGAATAAGAATATAAAGATTTTAAGGTAGTAAAATGTATTATATAACAATATACCAGGCGTCTGCATATCATGTTGTGATCGAGGGTGGGCGCGTAGTGTTCATAACTGAATGTTAATATTTTCTGAGCAGGAAAAGTTAACTGATGGGGTGCATGTTGTACGCAAAGGAAGGAAAACTAGGGACTCGTTTTACATCCCGATGAATGCTGGGAAACGTACCATCTTAGCTTAGCAAACCAGCTATATCAAATATTTTCTATATTTATCTCAGCGGGGTGCTGTTATTTTTCAATCGACCAATAAAATTTTATCAAAAAATCATCCAATCACAGTGAGAAAGCCCGCAATACGTACAGTATTTTATTAATTAGTATCCATTATGCAATCAGTTATTGTAATAGTATTGTCCCTATCATTAATACATTGCTAATTACTCTCCAATGCTGCTGCTACCACCATCAATTTCACTCTCGTTCTTCATACTAATAATACTGTCAACATAAGCTCTTGCCTCCCTCTCCAAACTCAGTTCACTTAACAACCTTTCTCTCATATTCACGTACTCGGCATCGCTCTCCACCCTTGCATAGTCATCTCCTTTTCCCTTGTAATAATTCACGTACGTTTTCCTCAGTTCCGGATCTCTCATTGCAGTGGCACGCTGCAACCTAGATCCCCTGATCTGATTGCTGATCGAACGCTGTTGTCGTTCAATGGAAGCGAGAATCTCGCTGTCGGTACGAATGTCTTCTTGCGTGATTACTATTACAAGGATCGAAAGAATGGCAAAGAACAAATGGCGATAGAAATGGATTGTCGAGAAAAGTGAAGGATGTGAAGGCTGTATGTCTCGTATGTCTGTCGATGCGAATGTGTAGAATTCATAGAAGCAAAATCCCGCTAACGATATCACACCATACGTTCTCCAATGTGCTTTGCTTCGTGTTATTGTAACTATGCCTATAATGCATGACATGAGAATATAATAACTTGCGTTACTGGGTACTATAAAGTAGAGGTAATCGATGGCGTCTCTACAATATGTGCATTGCATGAACGCATGCTCTCCGAATGCCAAGTATTTAAGCCGTGATTCATATGACTGTAGTTTATCCAATAGAGATAAGTAATAGAGACTTAACGGCTGTTTGTTTTTTTCTAAGAGAACACGCAAAGTGAACGACGGAGTATTGATAGGAGCATTCAACGTACGGAATATATTTGGAGGCGAAGAGAAAAACGCCAGGTAGAGGTTGCAAAGGGCTGTAAGGATCAATATTCCATCGATCTTGGGAGTTCGGGCTTGATTTGATGAGGCTGAGTTGTTACGAGCATTAAGGTATTCCGTGCCTTTGCGGGTTAGGGTCGGGAGCGAGATGATTGTTAAGAGTAGAATTAGTTCGCCGCTTATCATTTGTAGGATTCTGATTGGGAGTTGTTGGAAATTGTGTGATATTTATTAGGATTAATTCTCGGTATTTAGGATAAAATTACGAGTAATATTACGTCACTCGAGAAGAATTACTCGTTAGTTTCTGACATGTGAGTGTATCTCACAGTTTTAATAGTGAAGTGAGAAGTCTGAAGCCACAAATAAATTGTTCATGTCCGGTTTCAATAATAATATCATCTCAATTCAACACTAACACCTTTTTTCAAGTTTACGTTCTGTTTGCGAAAGTTTCAATTTTGCTACACGGAAAAGAATTACCGGTAATTGTCAAGCTGTTTTTAACTTTTGTTCGTGTGAATGGAACATTCGTTAGGAATTTTGCATTCGCTTGGGTCCTTACATAGTACAACCCGCCCAATAAACCGTACCAAGGTTTCGCCCGACGGTTCCGTGCCTAAACTACACACAATGTGTAGCCTCTCGAATTATTGTTGTGTGGATGCGGGAATCTTCGGTTACGCATTACTATTACATGACTCGATTGTCAGGTCGCACAAAAACCAAGCCCTTCTGTTCATCAAAATTGGGAAAGTAGTCTCTGTCTCTATGAAATAATAATAAACGTGTCCCAGGAAATTTTTGATTTTTGAAAAGAAGAGCCACTTTCTACCACGACGGAATAATCATTAGACATTGCAGAACTAAGCATGGCTGGTCAAATGGAGTACGGCAATAGATCGTCATATGGGAATGGACAAGACATTACCAGAGACGTCAGAGTTGTCATTTCTATAGGTAAGCCCAGTGGCGAGAGAGATGGAGTTTATAAATACTGTATGAATTGTCTTCAGGCAGAGATGTTGGAACGAATGGAAATGTCTACAGTCAATATTAACTGGTTATGAATGTCTTTGTTACTGATATAATGCAAGAAAGATCTTGGAACCACATTTTCAGGTAATGGTTACTGCGTACATGCCTTTGGATCGTTTGATATAACAGGCTGAATTGTTTTTAATACTGTTCTCTTTACATACTTTTTTTCTTCAAGGGTTTTCATATGCTAATAAGAAGAACCCAGAAATAGTGACAAATGACACATGGCAAGTGACCAATTCATTGTTCACTATTACACTTATTATTAATTTGATTTAGACTAATACTCGTCAATGTCAACAGGCCAGAACAAACAGGAGTGTTCAAAACGAATTCAGCATTGCTCTATGACGAAAATTTTAATGTGATAAAATGGTAAGATACCTTATCATATTTATCAAACGTTAGGTATACAAGTACTGGTTTCCTACAGACACGCACCGCAATTGAGACATCTCACGCCTTGAATATTCTTGCACATTATCATACTTTTACGTCCATCTTGCCCCTCTCCTCACTTTTTCATAATTTAGGGGTTACCCGGCACTAGCGCAAGAACCTCGCAAGAAAACGAAAAGAGGTAACAAAAATCAAATGAAACCCATAAACGTTGATCTGTTCAAACTGCACATGGGTAATATACGCGAGGAAGATCGACCGAGATTACCTAATGGCTTACCCTACACTAAAGCCTGTGCTGACTATTTGAGAGAGTTTAACAAAGTATGGAATAAGTAAATGGAGTGGGCGTTGAAGTGATTGGGGAAATATAAAACATTTATAACCTACTCTATTTACAGTTACTGACTTTTTTTCTTTATTCTCCGTATACACAATGTATCCTCTTAGGTCATAAAAGAAAAAATAACGACACGGTGGCCCGGCATACAGTATCCAAAACAATGTTTATTTGTAATGACGGTTCCGGCCGAGTGGAACGATGAAACAAGAGGCATTATGCGTGATATCGCTGCTCAAGCGGGAATCTTAGAGGATGTGTATGCTGACAATCTAGAATTTACGACTGAACGTACGTGTAGAGTATGGGATAATTGGGGTTGGTTTAGAGAGTGTTGATACATACCCTAATGATTTTTGTATTTCTATCTTCTTTATAGCTGAGGCTGCTGCAGTTCATTGTATTTCGTCATTGAAAGAGTATGATTTGCTTGTTGGATGTAAGTACGGAAAAAAAAATAGAATTTGTATTATAATAACCAGCTTCAGATGATTGAGATTTACTGAAACGCTTTTCCAAAAAAAAAAATTCTATCATTAATTATTTCTAAATTTTGTTCGCCATAGCTTCGTTCATGATCGTCGACTGTGGTGGCGGAACAGTCGATCTAACGACTCGAACGCTCCTCCCAGGTAACCGCCTCTCTGAAATAACTATCCGGAGTGGAGATTTTTGTGGCTCATCATTTGTCGACAAACAATTTGTCCTGTTCATCGGGCGCAAATTCGGTCTTGCCGCTCTCAAAAAACTCAACGAGCTTCACTATGGGCAACTACAATACCTTGTTCAACATTTCTGCTCTAGGGTGAAATTCTCGTTTAATGGAAATCGGGCCACATATAAACCCAGAACGATAGACGTAGAGTCGACCTGTCCAGCAGCAATGGATTATGTGACAGGAGCGGCGGCGGATGCACTGAACGCGGCAGATTGGTTAATTGAATTAAGTTTCGAAGATATAAAGAGCATGTTTGATCCTGTTGTCAACAGGATATTGGAACTAATTCAGGCTCAACTTGTTGCGTCGAATGGCCAGTGTCAAGCAATATTTATGGTTGGTGGATTTGCCGAGAATCAATATCTGCAAAATAGAGTCAAGGAGACTTTTAGTAGTAAAGTACGGATTATTGCTGTGCCTAG